TATATGTATTTGTCACTCTTTTCATCACTTCCTTGTATGGCTCATATTTCCTCACCTATATTGAAAAAGTATAATGCATTTTCATTATGGATAGAAAATGTGGATGCTTTTCCACCGGATATCCCCCTCCCACTCCACCGTTCGTTCCTCTACGCCGGTGTAAAGCGGCGATGCGCAACCCTGCCGCGCGCGCACGCTCAGCGGCGGGCCGGCCGCGGCGCGCCCCGCCAGCCCATAGCCTCACGTCGTCATTGGGCCGTTTGTGACCTTACGCTTCAAGATACGGCAAAACGGACGAAATTTCTGTCCCAAAAGGACCGTAACTTGCCATTTTCCTTCAGAATTGATGTGTCGCTTGCCAAAATTTTTGAATTTTGGGTTTAGGCCTTTTAGGCCCTTTGAGGCACGGGTTAAAATTTTTTTAAAATTTTTTCCTTTTAGGGGGTTCATTTAGAGACCACATAGAAACTTTTTAGGGGTTGACCAACTTGATTTTCGGAAAACTCAAAAATAAGGCACACCCTACCGTGCTCGCTTGTGTTTGGCACCCGATAACATCATTCGGTTCGGCGCGAAACCAGGGAGTTTTGAATTAACGGAAAAATAGCGCTATTAAACTGCGTATTTCTTGGTTTTTGAGTTACTTTTTGGCGTTTTTAGTGGCGCATCGTGTTCCACGCGTCATTTACGCTCAGAAGGATGTATTTCGCAAGTCAAAATTCGTTCATGGTATATTGACTCATTGTATGGGGTGGGGGGCTCTTGACATGTACTATAGCCCCAATGGAAAATTTGCGGGTGTCTGAAATTTGATGAATTTCGTATTTAGGTGGAAACTACTGATTGAACTGAACCCTGAATAAGGATGCCCTTGGTTCATGAATTGAACCATTATTGCAGAAGCTATGACAAAATGATCTAATTTGCTAAAATACGGGTGTTTAAATGGGAAATACCGCCAGATGACGTCACTAGGCGGTAAATTTTCTCACTTTTAAATCTATTTTTACACTACTTTTCATATCAGAAAAAAAATTACTTATATAAAAAACTGTAAAATCAACTCTTTAAGTACGTTCAGATGAAGCAATGAAACATTTGCATGCAAAGTCGCCATGATGGGTCTCTCTTGTGCGAATTATCGTAAATAAAATAAATCATTTACCTGCGTTTTTAATGAGAGCTTTTGTTTTGTCGACAAGATCAATATACTTGTGGGATTTGGCGGTGATCTCCTGTATGCCATCTTTCAGGATAGCCTGGAGTGTCGCCCTAGACTTAGCATTCAAGCTGTTCTCCATATCGTCGCCGGTTAGATTGGACGACCAAAAGAGGTCCTGGAGCATGCCCACCATTTCCTCCTGCATTTTCTCCATCTCCTCCCTCATGTTGCCTAGCTCCAGGAGTTTTTCCTTCTTCTGTGACATCGTGAGCTCCGTCGGGAACTCGGAGGTTTTTTTCGACTCCTCAACACGTTCTCGTCGTCTTGACGGGGAAGCATTTCCGTCAGCGCTGGCGGACCACTGTTTTGAGGGCGATTCGTCTCTCATGGAGTCGAGGAATTGTTGTATTGAAAGCGATTCCTCTCTTGCAGAGTTGGTGGAAGACTGTCTTGAAAACGATTCGTCCCTCAAAGAGTTGGTGGATCGCGATCTTTGAAGTGATTCGTCTTTCGCGGTGTTTGTGGGCCGTTGTGTCAAGGAATACTCGTCTCCCGCTGAATTTGCCGGTCGCTGTTAAGAAGGAAATGTGTTTTAGAATTACATCAAAATTGAGCTCGAACTTTGGAAAAAGCTGCGCTCAAAGTAAAAAAAGATCCATCTTGCAAAGTTACCTTCTTTGATAATATCGCTGTATCTGCACGTATCATAGCATGAACAATACAAAACTAGGAAACACATTAGATTTCTTAAATGTTTAGTAGTAGAAAGTTCTATAATTCTAGGAAGGGTTCTAAAAGTTCTAGGGGATTTGAAATGAAATGAGGGAGTGCCAATTTCCTGGCGAGTTGTGGAGGGACCGGGTGCTGTGGTGGTTAGGCGTCGCAAAGCGCGCTGTGAAAGCGAGTCTTAGGTATGTATGTAAGTTCTGCACCTTTATAAATAGTGTTTTGGACAGTCGATGATGACAACTTTCTGAGGAGACAGTTACGCTTTAAAAATTGTGATCGCAAAAAATTCCAGGCCGAGAATGTGTCTCCTTGTGTTTGAAACAAGAGGAATATACTTGACTCGATGATATTGTGATAAATGTTGACTAAACTATTCAGTCAAACTAGCTTTCTGCATGGTTGGGGTCAACATTATCTGCTTTGAACTTCACCCAAAAGTTGTTTAGATATTTCAAAATCTGTTGCGTGCGTGATACTTCTCAGCATACAGCCGCATCAGTCACCCATAATTTTTCCTCAGCCTGTCAGCGAAACATATCTAGACGCTTAACAATGCTGTAAACAGGGCCGCGGCCCATGGCGGCAAATTTAAGAGGCGGCAAAAATTTGCAATTTTTTAAAGTGTAGGTATAAAAAAATCGGATTTATAAAAACAAAATTACAAACGCGAAAAGGCGACAAAATCTCTCATATCCTGAGAGTATAGTAATTTCTTATTTTGTCGTCTCTTAGTGATACAAGAGACAGCACCCTCAATAAGTCGAGTTTTGAGAGAAACCAAACACGCAACTCGGCCTAGAACGGCGCGACTTAGAGAAAAATGATGACGAGGACTTGAGATGAAAAGGAAAAGCCCTCGACGCGGCGATCGGCATGTAACACATATTAGTGCCTACAAGACTGCACGAATACTTCACGCATTACATCAAACACAGTGCGGTCATTGCGGTCAGCGTAAAACGGATAGCGCCTACAAGAATGCATGAATACTTCACGCATTGCGCCAAACACAGTGCGGTCAGCGTGAAACGCATAGCGCCTACAAGACTGCGTGAATACTTCACGCATTGCGTCCAACACAGTGCGGTCTGCGCGTCGCGGCGGCGGAAGTTAAAATCATTGAACCACATTTGTATTTGTTCTTTCATAATTTATTCGTTCATTTCTTATGAATGGAAGGCCTTGTCCACACATAGATAGGTTTAAGGAACATAACTTTCGCGTAAAGTTTCGTGAACTTTTGCTAGTAGTGTTGATAGGGTTTTCCCAAAAAATGTGTTCAACACGAGTAAATGCGTCTTATGCGCCCCACCCCCGCTGGCACGTTCATTTGATGGTTTTTATCCAGTTTCAAAACGAATGAGAAGGGGGCGGCAAAATAAAGGCGGCCCATGAGCGGCAAGTAGGTGAATCCGGCCTTGACTGTAACCTCATACATATTTTAATCTTTCTAAGTCAGATTGACCGCTAAAAAGCTACGGACGTCTACTTGTGGATTTTCTTTACCTTTTGACAAATATTTTTTTTTTCATAAGTCATTACTTGGAGGCATTATACTTACTAGTAACCCCATTTACAATGATCGACTCTGTCTGATCTCAAGAAGAAATTTTTAGGTATTAAAAAGATAAATCTCTCACCGAACTGGTAGGCCGTTGTCTCGGAGTTGATTGTTCTCTGTCCAAAGTGATGGACAGCCGTCTGGACGAGGTTTCGACTCTAGTAGGACTGCTGGGGCGTGATCTTAGCGGGGAAACGTCTCCCTTCGAGCTAAGAGGACGTCTTGGTGTGCTTGCATCTTTTTCAGAGCTAGAGAGACGTCTTGGTGAGCTTGCATCTTTCTCAGAGCTAGAAAGACGTCTTGGTGGATTTGCATCTTTCTCAGAGCTAGAAAAACGCCTTGGGGGATTTGCATCTCCCTCAAAGCTGAGAGAACGTTTTGGCGGACCAGCATCTCCCCCGGAGCTAGCAAAACGTCTTTGTGGACTTGCATCTCCTCCAGAGCTAGGAGGTCGTCTTGGTGGGCCCGAATCTCCTTTCTGTCTATATGATGCCGTGTCTCCGCCGGCAAAGCGGTGGCGTGGTGCGGATGGATCTGCACCAGGGCTTGCGGGACGTTTTCTTGGTAGGAGTATGTCTTCTTCCAGCCGCTGTCTTGAGGGGGTAGCATTTCCACTCGCGAAACGCTGTTTTTGAGGGGTTGAGTCTCCGCCCGAGGGTGCTGGGCGCTTTCTTGATGGGGTTGCATCCCCCCCGGTGAGCGGTCGTCTCTGGTCTCCAACTTGTGACCGGTCACCGGGATCTGTCAGGATGCCCTGTCAAAGAGGTATGAGAATAATAGGTCGAGCTATGGAAAATTTCGGCTAAGGAAACGCTGAAAACGTACATTTCATATCGAAACATTGTCAACATGTAAAGTAAGAAGGGTATTTTAGAGGAGGCAACCAGTATTGCCTCTTACACTGCCGTGCTAAGGAAAGACGCCATATGAACATTCGAGAGTTGCCAAATTTCCTCCCATAAAATGTGTATTTTTAAGAAGATTTATGAGTATTTTTCACCGCAATCCCCGCAGGGACTTTAGGTGGAATTGCGAACAAAATAATCTGAAAAATTGGAGGAAAAATAATCGTAAGTTTTATCGAAAATGTGTGTTTAATCGAAGGAAATTTGGCGACGCCTGAAGGTTCATACGGCGTTTTTACTTAGCTTGGCAGTACAGTACTTCTAAAGATCAGTATTTCGAAGACTAAAGTAAAAAAAAGTGCCTCTATTTGCGACTTTGCAAGTTTCCGCTTATTTTTTTAGTTTTTTTTTGTTTCAAAACTGGTCAACACGCTAAGTATGAAACTGATCAATACTGCTAAAAATGATCATTATGGTGCCGTGGTGGTAAGTGAAACATGGTGCTATGCTGACTCCAACATGATATCGACATGGTATGAACATAATACCAACTTGGTCTCAATATTGTTCCACATTGATATCATGTTGGTATCAACATGATACCGCATGTTTTACTCACCAGCATAGTCTTTTTTAGCAGAGTACCTAGTCTTTCTTGAAATCTCCAGTAAATTGTCCTCAATTTTCCAAAAATATTTAAAAATAGTTTTTAAGATATATTTTGGTTAGTTTTCCTGTCAAAAAATGATAAAAATTATCGGGGATTTTGAAACGATGCTATAGAAATACACATCTTTCAACTTTAGCTATAGCCTCAATGTCTACCTAATCGTGAGTGATGAATTTCGCTTCGGTCTCGGAAGGAGTAAGTGCTTCGCATAAAATTCATATTACGGCCAAGATGTTAAAATTGTAAATGGACAGGTAATAATTGCAAAATTAGTACCGATTTCGTAGCTCAAATTTAATGTTTTTTGTTTTATGGTGCCAAAATGATGTTCACTAATTCCACTTACCGAGAGAAGAGTCAGAAAAATGAGAATCGTTTGAAAATTCATGGCCACAGTTCTGAGAGTAAAAACCTCCGTCCGATCTCGCCTTCATCCCAGCATTTATACGACCTTCAACTGCCTTTTTTCCTCAAAAGCACTCTGTTTGTCATCCGCTCGACACTGGCGTGATTCGTTCGTTGCTCTTGGATCGAATTGGAGTTAGCGTCAATTGAAAACGTAAGCACCTCAAGGTTTGACGTGATTCGTTTTTCTATCTCGGCGCGATGACTTCCCGTGGTTGCTAAAACCAAAACGCAGTGCTTTTCAGGCATCAGGCTTTACCTTCAGCGACCCTCAAATATTATTCGCCCATCGACAACGTGACAACGTGGCAACGCGGGGTTCGTGAGACAATTTGAAAAAATTTTTAGTGACATTTTTACTCATGTTTTTACCTGGTGAAAGTGAGTCTCAATGACCTCACCAGTTTGAAATCATTCTGTTCCATGATGTGAGCTTAATACCTTTATGACGTCAATCTGAGGTTGCTTTTAACAGTGTGAACTCAGAGCTACACTGAAAAAAAAAACACATTGGATCTAGAGTCCAGACTCTTGAAAACATTGACAAGAAAAAATACTCTTGATTCAATCGGATTCTTGCTTGAATCAAAAAGAAATCCGCTTATATTAAGAGGCTTGGTTTTTTATTTAAGCTGAATTCTGATTGAATCAAGAGTATTTTTTCTTGTCGATGTTTTTAAGAGTCTAGACTCTAGATCCAATGTGTTTTTTTTCCTGTGTATTAATGGACATTTCATCGATAACATACTGGATTATGATCAGTTGGTAAACAAAATCAAGTCGGCAACGACGTTTTCTCGCCTTTCAACAATGATCGATCACCGATAGTTCCCATTTAAAGCTACGGTAAAAAATCGATTATTATGGCGTTCGATTTGAACACCCGGTTTATCGATCCTTTTCCATAGGTTTAAATTGCGGATCAATCCATGCATCGCAAAGCACGCCACGCTACTGCTTTTAATGCTTTCAATGCTATGTGAAACAATCGATTCTTGGTAAGGCAGGTTGTCTTACCTAGAATCATAATGGATTTAAATATAGGAAAAATAATTTTGACAGCATAAAATGAATCCATTGCATGCGTGCACTTTACACCTCAAATACTTTACCAAAAAATATAAAAAACTGAATATTTCATAATTTGTCAGTATATAAGCACAAAACTGATTAAATTCGGAAAGTGTGTGGGTTTTTTTTTCCAAGTGTGAGGCTTGTGAATACCGATTAAACTCATAAGGTCCAAATGAAAAATGTTTGCAATGATCCCCCTCTACAATGCCTTGAGTAAATGTTGGCCTCGAAATTTTTGAGTTTTTTCCTTGACAAAATCGCGGTAAGTATAGCTTGCCTTTCGCGTGACCCAAGAAAAAATGGTATCGCGAGCACGCCACACGCCTTGCAGAAACTCTCCGAACGATGAAGGCATATTCTGTGTTTATCGCATCAGTCAGGAACCTGTGTGCTTAGATGAGTAGGGTTCACTCATGAAATAACAATTTTCCTCAGCATATTTCCTGCATATATACCTAACGAGAGGCATTGGGAGACAAGGAGCATAAGTGCAGATTTTGATAAAATTGAGATATTATAATAATTTTACCTGAAACTATACTTAAAAAAACCTGTGAAAAAGTAACTATCCTTTATTTTAACTATACTGTACTATATTTAACTTAATATATAATATTTTAACTATTCTATATTCAACTTAATCAAACTTTTTAGCACTAAAATGTGAGTTCTAACTTTCTTTCTGCCATATAGTTCCACGGAATTTTGAAACTTAAATATATTTCTTGAGCTTGGCTAATGTAGTCCATTTATGTCATTAATTTCCCTCTGCAGATGGGTGCTTTCATATCTGACAATGAGTCAGAAACAGTGCTTCCTCCTAGAAAAACGAGTAAAGGTCCAAGTGGAGCGCATTTTTCAACGGAAGGATACAAATTCTGCCTCATCCATTAAAGCACATATCTGCAACTTGAAAATAATAGCACAAGTGCTGAACCAGAAATAGTGCTTTCTCATCCAAAAATGAAGTCAAATCAGTGTTATTCATCGTCAAAATAGTGTTTAATATCATCAGAAGTCGTCGTCGTCTGACCACTGGAGAGTTTCCTTTTCGGTGGCTGAGAGTCCACCCATGCCAATCAACATGTTCATTAGCTCACCCTGAAGCGGGATCATGTAGCCACTCAGATGAGTAAAGAGGGTCTCTTTCCGTTCTTCTAGTGATTTCATATCTTGCTTGAGCTGGGCCCGCTGTCCTTTGTCCCCTGGAATAGATACACATCTCATAATAAATGGATCTCATGAATGTGATTCGATAGACGCTATAATTTGTGTAGATTGGTTCCATTTCTCAGCTACTCGCCATTTTTCTCGAATTTTGAGATCGCAATTCTGTTGTCAGGAAACCACAGAATTCACTTGCAAATTTTGACAAACAAATTGAACGTGATAAAGGCGTAGTTTTCTTGGAGGACAAACATCGCATTCGAGTGCAGTTTCAATGCCTATCAGTATCGAATGCGACATTTTTCCTCTAAAAAAAAAACACGCCTTTATCACGTTGAATTTGTTTGTCAAAATTGGCATGTGAATTCTTTAGTCTCCTGATAACAGAATTGCGATCTCAAAATTTGAAAAAAAAATTCGAGTGCCTAAAAAATGGAACCAATCGATGCGGCATATCGCATGTCGTTCTGACACAAAATATGGCGTCCATCGTATCACCTTAAGATTGGTCGCGTATTTTTGTTCTAAGGTAACCAGAGAATGCTTGCTTTTGATGGTTTCCTAAAATGGATAGCGTAGATTGTTCTTGGTATTTGAAGAAAGAGAAAAATACGATTATTTCTCCCTTTTCGATTTACCTTATTTGCCTTTTTCTCCCAATATTTTAAGTAGACAAGGCCATCTCGGGATATTGAGGCCCCATCATCAGGTCAACTATGTGTTCCATGACTAATTTCGTTATTACCCACTTTAAATATCTTTTAGGGGGTAATCTTGCGCTTACAACCTGAGCCCCATTTCTTCTCAGTCTCTGAATAACAACCAGAAGTGTTATAATATTTCATAATCTCATAATTTATAGTGTTTACTTCATCCACGACCTCAAAAATATTCAAATCACAAGTGAAGGGGTGATTTTAGAGGGTCTTGGAACTTTTAGGCTACAAACTTATAGTTTTCTCCTTTGGAGAACCTGATTCCCCTTTAACTTGATAGGTATTAATATTTTTGCGATCGTGAATAAATTTAGCACCATAATTTAGGGCGGGTTGCCACATTTTATGAGTTTCGGTCCAAAATCGTTACCAAAATTCAGAAAAAAAATTATTAAACTGTAAGTTCTTCTTCGAAAACATCTGGGAATGAAGAAAGTGTCCTGCTGAACTAATGTACTCCTGTTCCTCTCAATATCACTCAGAAATCGCGACTTGCGAAATGCGAGTGGCTAGCGCATTAGGCTATCACCAATGCGATCCAATGGGTCAGTTGTGCTGGTCACAAAATCGTGTTTCGATGCTTGATTCTTGAAGACTAGCTGAAAAGAATAAGATCCGTCCAAACCGCAACTTTCCACATTCAATATTAATCGAGATATTGCCCTTTGAAAGTCCGGGGTTTTGACGTCATCCGCCGCGGCAGTGACACCCTTGTTTTCTTCCACCTTGCTTTCATCCGCGTTTCACGTAGAGTATAACCCACTACTGTGTGTACTCCTACTGTGTCCCTGACTGATAAAACCTAGGTGGAAGAAACCAAGGGTGTCACTGCCACGGTGGATGACGTCAAAAACCTGGATTTTCAATGGGCGATATCTCGGTTAATATAGAACGTGGAAAGTTGCGGTTTGGACGGATGTTGATATTTTTAGCTAATCTACTAGAATCAAACATCAAAGCACAATTCTGTGACCAGCGCAACTGACAAATTCCGATGCGAGCGACTCCCGCCTGATTTTTAACGAGATTGCAAATTTTAAACTCAGTAGTCAAATTTTAAACTCAGTAGTAGGTCAGCACTCAGAAGTATAGTTTTTTACCAACCTGGGTTATCTAAAATCTGCCTTCCAACACGATAGACATGTCCCAAGAACTCGTTGGAGCTGGGAGCGAAGGTCCTCCGGGCTTCGGTGCATATTTTCTTGAGGCGTTCGCGACTCTCGGGGTCCTTTGACAGTTCCTTTCCGTGCTTACTCATCGATTCACCGATGTCCTTCACGAGGTCGAGACCGGTGTCCCTCAACTCAACGGTATCTGACCACATGCCCTTCAGTTCTTTTAGGTATCCCTCCTCCTCTGCAGACCATTTTCCCGAATTTATTGCCGCGTCCAGCTCCTTCATGTTCAACACTAATTTTTTCGGATCGACCTGCTCTACCTGTTGTCGTCCGGGAGATCGCGGTCCTCCTGAAAATGACATAAAGAACGGTCGAAGAATTCTCCTGTTATCAATTAAATCTAAACTGAACAAGTTGTTTCTAAACGGCACCAAGTCCAAGTCTCAAATGAACCCTGGGCTACTCAGGCATATTAAGAGTTTAGTCCTATTCTGAGGAATGGACATGTGCCCTTTTATGAACGACTCGTCCACGTAGCGTTGCAACTCGCCGATCAAGCAATAACTCAAAGGATGGGGTTGCAAAATGAAATTTCACGTCTGAAGAATTGAAGCTCCAGTGAAATTCCATGCGAAATTTCACGAGGCTTCGAAGTATTAAAAAAAAATAAAGTGCATTTTTTAGGGGAGAGTATGCAGCCCGCATTCAAATGCATCAATTGCCACAAAATTTAACATTATTTTTTCCGCCTTTTAAGTGAACGAAATAGAATCTTTCTGCTTCCACGTGGTTCTCACAGCAAAACTCAAGTAAGGACAAAACAAATGAAATTGACAAATTATTATTTGTGCTAAAGCATTTGCAATTTTTTTTTCAGGATGTAAATTGTATTGGATTTCATCCTTTAGCAATGTAATAGACTTATTTTACTTATAGTATTACATCAGTTGTGATAAAATGTACTCTGCACAATCGTCCTTTTCAAAACTTTCATATCTTCCATGAAATTTTGAATCTAGTAAATTTCACGATCATTTTTATTCTTTCACTGAAAAGCAACTCCGTCGGAGGGCTACCCTATGACTCATCGCGTTGTTGCATCATGAACTCTGTGCGTCAACCCGGCTTTTCATGCATTTACACTTTATTTCGCTAATGTAAAGTCGACGAAAACTTTCATATTCATCAACTTTTAGTTGTGACTGCAGCGTAACTAACACAGCTAAAAGTGAGCACCATAGCCCAAAATCACGTGTATCTAAATAAACAATGCTGCAATATTACAAGTCTGGCTTTCCTTGTGTTTTAAGTTTTTTTAATTAATCGTATTTGGATATTGGTGTTCTGACATACCTATTCTGACCTACTTTTTCTGCCCTGAATTGTGTCCGTCTCCTGCTCAGAAACAGGGCGTTATGCGTCGACTTCGCATCGTCGACGTATCGTTTCTTAAACGATAAGACTTCCTCAAGCCTAAAGAATTACATTCCTTTAGGAGGACTTGACGTTTAAGGGGCGACTATGAATGCGACCCTGCGAAAATGGAAAAAAAAAAAAAACCCCAAAAAATTGTGCTGGTATGAGAAGAATTTGTCTACTGTTCTTAAATGATTTTGGTATAGAGTAGAAATCCCACTTTACGCGTGATAAGGAAGAATACCGTATGAAGATTCAAGAGTTGCCAAATTTCCCCGGAAATTTTTTCTATTTTTGAGAAAAAAGTATGCATATTTTCCCTTGAGATATTCGGATATTTTAAATTAAACTACGAACAAAATAGTCAAAAAAGTTGGTAGAAAAATATTCAGAATTTTCCCAATAGATTCGTATTTCATCAAAGAAAATTTGGCAACGCCTGAAGGCTCATACTACGTTTGTCCTCAGCACGGTAGTGATTGATGTTTGCCCAAATACGAGGAGGCCCACTCACCACTTTCAACGGGATACGAGTTCGAGCCTGAATTCTTGGAGTAGCTTCTCCCTGGCGGTGGTCGATACGAATTCTGGGAGAAGCTTTTCTGGGGCGAAAGCTGCCCTTTTCCGGTCGAATTTCTGGGGCCACCTCTCGGGAGCGATTGTCGTTTTCTTCCGTTCGTGGGTCTGGGGTTGTCCCTCAAAGGCAGTTGTCGTCCTGATCCCGTTGATCGGGGGATGGGGCTGCTTCTTAGAGGTGATTGCTGTCCTGGTGATCGGAGGTTGGAGTTGCTTCTTGCTGGTAACTGTCGTCCGGCTGAGCTTGGTTTTCTCGCGAGCCCAGGTCGAGGTTGAGGTCTTCCTGAGGGTCTCGTGGCGACGCCACCCTTATATCGACCGGCATTTTTGCCGTTTCCCACGGAGGTGACCTGGTTGAGTGGAAAATCAAATATGACACACGCATTGATGGCAAATCAATGGAGATGTTGCATGTGTGAGGGATTTACGATTTGACTGTTGATTTGTATGTGAAAGTTCGCGAGGAACACGATGGTGCCGCTGGTTTTCTCTGAAATCAACTCCCAAGCTCATGGTCGATTCGACCATATCGACGTTGTAAGTCGGCAATCACATAACTCGGTTTGCGACGTTGCAGACCTCTTGTCATACGTTGTTTTTTAAACGGAAAACTACTCATCGGCAACTCGTTAAAATTTCCGTGATTTTTCTTCTCTGTGCGAAGAAAATCTTGCATAAACTTCAAGGAATGATGTCAATTTGTTCTCTTTTAAAAAAATAACAAAGAGGCGGAGATTTTCAGACACCGCAAACGAGTTATGTGATCGCCGACTTACACCGTCGATATATCTTGTTGGTTGTAGAATCTTTTTTTCCGTGTTCGTGACGCTAGAAACGTCCTTTGATAAAAAGTCAATCTTGGAAATTGAAAAATGCTGATTGTACATACAACCTCTTGAAAACTTCCCTGAATTCTCTTCTCTGCAGGGAACTTTTTGTGTGAAAATATCAGGCAATATTGCTCGTTAGTTCCCCTCAGATTTAATATAATAAGAGCGGAGATTTTGAAACACCGCAAACAATTCACGCGTTTTTACAGTATCGTCGTCGATGTGTGCCCGTCGATAGGAAAAAGAGCTTCAGTTCACAAAAATTCAAAATTTAGTTTTGATATCAGAGTGCATGAAATCGTTTTCTTCATGCTTTGTGAACATTTTGGCAGGAAAACACCCTGAAAGTGTCAAACAATAAAGCTGGAGCTATGCACAACAGTTCGAAATGTTTTGTTTCGCAGATAGTATGGTAGAACTCTGATTACCCGATACCCGTGGTCGTCTGAATTTGACAGCAAAGCTGGAGAAAAGTGAGGAATGTCACACTCCCGGACATAAAATCTCCGGCTACTTACACCTTATTTTACTTATCATGTAATATAATAAATACCGAGAACCTGCGGAAAACTTTAAAAATTCAGAGAAAAAAAACTAACCTGAGCCACAAATGCCGCCAAGACCAGCAACACGCGCCAGTCCATTGTTGCAAGGACTGTTCGGCAGTTTAAAAGAAAACAACCTACAAATCTGTGCCCAAAATTATTTCCGGGCCTTTTATTTAAGCGCTGTGGCACCTGAATACCGCGTTCGCGCACTTTAAAGTTGACGTAATTAAATTTTAGTCATTCTCAAAATATTCCGTGCTCTGCGGATGAACTCACTGTACCAGAAGGGAAAAGGATCATCGCGGATCGACGTGCATTTTTTCTGTGATTTTTTCGAAATTTGCGTCAACAGCTAATGCAATCGCTGCCATTTCGGATGGTGAGTGGGATCATGTGACAACCCGATTATTGACGCCAGTGCTTGACAACTTCCTCATGACACCCCCCCTCCGAAAAAAAAAGAATCACGGGTAATGCTCACCTTTATAAACTTGATTTACCAAGCGTGGCCTTGGTGCCAGCCCTCCCCAGTGCAGGATAGGAATGAACATCAAAGCACACTTCATCAGCTAGAAAAAATAAGAGAGATGATTGCTGACAATTGCTGATGATCAGGTGGTTGCGTCGCAAGACGAGGGGATGCAAGGAACAAGTTAATTAGTGGAAGAATATCGACAATGGATCCTGAGCTTCAGTGCCTCAAAGATTTGAAAATGTGTTATTGGAGGTGCTCGACAAGGTATAAAGTCGGAGGATGGTAGAAATATTGAAACATTTGAGAAGTATGAATACACAAAAGTTTATCTGGCCCTAGATGGCGAGTTTGATCGTCCGATCAGAGCTCGTTTTTTGTGAGGAAGAAAAGCCATTGCTATATTACATGGGATTGTCTAAGATTTGTAAAACACCTATAATTACAAGACAGTTATTAAGAAAATACTACAGTTACTAAGGAGAAGACAGTTCTAATCACTAGAATTTTACCATTGATTTGTCCTCATTCGAAATCACTACAAACCCTCACCTCAAATCTAATGTTCGTAATGGTAATAATGACTTCAGTCGAACGATCATTATAACCTACGAGAGTGAGGTTTGGGAGCTGAAGAAGAGATCTGTAAAAATCCCAAGAGAGACTGAGATGGACTTTTGGCGGAGATTCACGGAGATTTTGCGGAGAGAGCGTGTTCATTCATGGACGAGTGCTTGTAATAATGGGGTTGGTCATTTTGATTAGATTGCGGAACCTGAAATCAGCGGATCCACTCAAAGTGCCTTCATTTCGTTGGGTATGCAACTTGATCCCCGGAGAGTTAAAATATTTGCTCGAGGTCGAAACAAACAATAGACGTCGCCGAACACAAATTCGGCATAAGTCAATACGTCAATACGTGACAGGTGGTAACTTCTATCATCTGACATTTAACCCTTAAAATTACCATTCAGCCATTCAGCAACCCCTTTCTCCGAGCAAGGCTACGCCTCCCATTCCGATTTTTCCGATTTTTCCGATTTTTAGGGCATTGATAAAGCAGCCCTAGGTTTTGCATCTCCAGGTGTCTGCAAATTAATTGAACGGCCCAAAAGTATTCCATGCAAGTTGCTTACAGTTAAAAATCACTGGCTGTTTATGAATCTACTTAAAAATGAGTCTATTTATCCACATCCTTATTATAATATCCAATTAAAATACAATAAAGGTGCAACGCATACGCAAAATCTGCGGCGGACGATTGAATAAAATACCCTTAAAATAAAACGAATTTACTCCAACGATGGAGAGTTGCAAATAGTAATTCAAAGGCAAATTCCATAAGTCATTATATTAATCCATACATTTTCGTAGTTTCTAAACGCTAAGAGTCTAATAATTGATTGTTGAATATTTCATATCGACTATTTTAAAAGGGCGAGTAATGGATTGCTCCCTATTTCTTATCGATTTTTTTAAAAGGGCCATGCCACGTTCGTTGAGCCGTTTCAAAAGAGACGCCTTTGGCTGGGTGAATATGAAAGGCGTCCAAGAACACCAAAAGACCTCGATCTCCTCCTTGAGTATCTGCGTCGTGGTGATGATGGGTAACCTGGAACAGAAGGGATTCTGCAATGAGGAATGTAGCGGAGAAAAATCTGTTCAAAAAAGGGCACTGGAAAAAAAAACACATTGGATCTAGAGTCCAGACTCTTGAAAACATTGACAAGAAAAAATACTCTTGATTCAATCGGATTCTTGCTTGAATCAAAACGAAATCCGCTTAAATTAAGAGGCTTGGTTCTTCGTTTAAGCTAGATTCTCATTGAATCAAGAGTACTTTTTCTTGTTGATGTTTTTAAGAATCTGGACTCTAGATCCAATGTTTTTTTTTTCCAGTGGGGAATATACCTATTAAAGGTGGATCTTCAGCGATAGTTTCGAAGCAATCCACCACGTCACGCTGCTAAAATCTGACTCAAAAATCAGAAATTATTGAAATACTATGGCATGACGGTGGCTAAAGTGCGAGACCACGTAACTCCGTTTGCGACGTTGTAGACTTCCGGTCACCCTTCATTTTTCCTCGGAAACCTGGTCAGCGTATTTTCTTGAAAGCCTCCTCGATTTTTCTTCTCCGTTAGTAGAATATTCTGCATACATTTCAAGGTATAATTTTTGACCTGTTCCTCTTCGAAAAAATGAACAAGGAGCGGAGATTTTGAAACACCGCAATGGAGATCCGTGGTGTCGCGCTTTAGTCATCGATTTAAACTAAATTCTGAGAGTCGTACGTTCTAGCGGTAGGTTTTTTTTAATGTGTGAAATAAAAAAAAATGAGCTTTAGAAATTCAATATTGAAGGCTGAAAATTTATTACGATGTTTAGGGGACTTCGGTGAGCCCGAAAGAGATAATTGTAGCAACGATACCAAGAGATTTGGCTGCACTTGCCAAGAGCGAATTGTTCGTGATTGGATCTAGTTTACTGCTTTTTGGGATCTATTTCTCGGGCTATACTACTATTCCCTTTTAATGTTAATGGAAATAAGAAAGTTCTAGCTAAAATTTATGACACATTCACACACCAAAAATGGGTGAATTATGATGGGAAAACATTCAATTATGATGGGACTCCATCTAATTTTTACACTTGCTCAAGGACTCGTAGTGGGCCTTAAGTTCTCTTTTTTTATCTGTAGTTTTTTTAAGTCAAAGACTTTATTGCAAAAAATACAAGATTTTTTACAAAAGGAGAGAACCTTAATATACATAACATCCCCCTTAAAATACGTCTTACACTAGTTGGGTCACAGAAATTTGGGTCAGACAACATTATTGTCATAAAATTTTGGTCAAAAAATATCTTATCTTATAATTAACTTGTCAAAAATTTGGTACTAAGAAAAAGGTCACATCTATTCCGAAGAAAAGGAGGAAAGATTAGTACTGGGGAGAAATTGGTCACATCTATTCAAAGAATAGGATTGGTCTAAATTAAGTGTCACGTCTATATTATAAAAATATAGGAGTTTTTACTCCGAAGGAGCTTCTCCTTCTTCCTCTATCTAATGCTAAAACGAATATGTAAGGACTCTTTTGACGTGAGCCAAAACATCGAAACCAATCGGTGGCGCCTTCCGGGGAGAGAAAACTCTCACTACGATTTGCTGAGATTCACCCTAAAGTTGATTCTCGGTGCTTACAAGGACCCTTTAATGTTCCAGCGATCTATCGATATTTTCTGAATTTTAAGAAATGTTTTAAACCTTTTTAAAAATGAAATCCTGCTGTGGTGGGCCAAATTGAATATCGACGGTGAAACTACCAGACCACGTATCTCAATTTGCGACGTTGCAGATTGCCTGTCATACTTTATTTTTTAACTGGAAGACTATTCAACGTCAATTGAATCAGTGAGAACGAAAACACACCAACTCGAAAAAATGACAGTATTCAAGACACACACTGAAGTGCACGGTAGGTGAAGAAGTTAGTCTAAGAAAAATATTTTTGGTCCCGAAAGACAAGCACTTAAGGACACTTTAAAGGTCCGAGTTGGAACAGATACGCTAACTTCAATGACCTTTTTGAAAATTGGCTGTCTTAAATGAAAATTGAGCATTTTCGAGATACCGAGTTGGTGTGTTTTCGTTCTCACTGATTCAATTCTTCATAACTTTCATGATTTTTCTTCTTTGTGCGAAAAAAAATCCTGTAAAAACTTCGAGGAATAATGTTGGTTTGTTCTATTTCAAAAAAATAGAACGAAAGCGTAGATTCTTAAATACCGCTAGCAAGATACAGATACATGGTTTTGGAGTTTAACCGTCGATATGTCGCGAGACATTACCGATCGCCGGAAATTTGCAAGCCGTTTGTGATGAATAAACAAACATAAAAATTCAGAAAATAAGAAAAAATTATTGATCACTATGCTTGGGATTGAAATATGACGTTCAGATTTCCGCTTAGATGCATAGTATCAGCAGCAGCTAGCACGTTTGCGCGTGCGTATAATGAAATCGGTGACTATAATCGGTTGGGTTTGGTTCGGATAGACAACTAACCTAACTGCTAAGCAATGCGGAGAGTATCACAGACAGATTGACTGCGTTCCGAGTCCAAATTGTACTTTTGAAGTTCTTTATTAGTGGAACTTTCTTCACGCTGATACTGATTGTTGTCATTTTGTGAATCAGCACGCAAATTGCTTTCAAAGTTCCTGCAACTGCTGATTGTCTGATTATATAAAATTTGATTGGAAAATACTATGAATTGGAATGGCAGAAGAAACGTGGAACATCGAACATCGCAAATTCGATCGTGTTGCTTTAAGATTAGTCGAGCCGTAGTCTTACGGTTACATTCCAAACGTGTGCATGATAAAATTTTGTATATCAATACCTGATGCATTAAAGCCTCTTTTGATTCCCAGAAGTATGTCTAATAATATGTTAATTTTCAGGAATTACTGATTGATCGATTAGTCGTTCGTAAGAAAATAGTACTGCAGCTCCCACTTTAAGCTATATTGTTCGGCAATGAATCATTTGAACGTCAAAAAAAAAAAAAAAAAATTAAAATTGGTTGACATGAAACCTTTTTTAAGTATCATTGCTCACTAGGTCAAAATATCAGAAAAGCGGAATTGTCTCTGCTACCTGTGAAAAATCCCACTTAAGGATCGTTGTGCTAAGTATTAATATTGATAGGCACTGGTGCCTGAAAGTTTTCATCCACAACCAATACCCAAGTTGGAAGGAGGTTAAATTATGTTTCTAAAATGGATCAAGAATGAAAAGAGGATTTCAAAACATTACTTTACTTAATCGACCTATAGGTATATGTCAAATTAAATTCTCCCTTACTTCTCTGTTCACTATGTGAGTATCCGATGAATTAAGAAGATGACAGCATTATAAGTATGATTTCGAAGAGAAATCGGCTGAAATTTCAAAATTCACTTATAATTTCATGGCTTATGTTTTAAGTTCAAGGTATGGTGAAGAACTGAAATTGAAATTTGTGAGGTCATTTTGCTTAATCTCTCATATCTCGATCATGAATATCTAAGTAATCTAAGCAATACTAAAGAAAAACACTGTATGAACCCTTCAAAGTTGCCGAGGTGCTTCTGGCAAAAGATGAATCCTCTCAAAAACTTCTGGCTATTTTTTATTAAGAATTTCAAAAAAATGAACCCTCAATTTTCAATGTATTTGCAAAATTATTATTTGAATACTTTTTTGGATCAGAGATAAATTTCGGAATTTCTCGATGACCTTTTCTCATATTTATCGTGATTTTAGAGGTATATCCTTTGAACAATACAAATATTCCTAAATTTTGCGACAAACCCATTTACCTCCGCACGGTAAATTCCGTTTGCCTAAGAGCAGTTATATGTATGTACATCAGCGGAAATAAATGCGGGGAAATTAAACAGAGGTGATCATTTTGAGATTTATTTTATTGATCCTTCGATCGGGAACATTCAGGCTTAAATCCATGAAAAAAGACCCCTCGAAAAAAGGCCGTAATTAAGCTTACGTGAGACACTTGATGTTAAGCTTTTTACAGCAGCAGTCGCCCTGTTGAAGGCGGCGGATCCCAAGTGATCCAGGCTATTAACCGTGGTGATTCCGAAGCCTATACCGCTTCCTAAAGTCTTCAAGATCCTCGTCTCAAGCTTCTGCGATTGAGTTTCCGAAGTTAGATCCATAGTTCCGCCTTCTCCCGTCTGAATTTTCGAAGATAGACCCCCGATTTCATTATTTTCAGCTTGAAATCCCATTGATATGCCACCATCATTATTCTCACCATCGCAACTTCCTCCCGATTTCTTTTCCGTTACTAAGTCACCGTCACGACTCTTTTGCGCCTGGGAAACTGTTACTAGGCCACCACCATGACTTTCCTTCACTTGCAGATCTAATTTTAGATCACCGCCATAGGTTTTGTCCAGGTCGGATGTCGGTATCTGGATCAAGTTCCTGTAACGCGCCCGATAGAGCCTTCCAAGTGGCGCGTAGGCAACTTCATTTTCTTCGGTGAGTTCTGTTTTGCCGACCTCGGTAGTGCAGTGTATTTTTATCACCTGTAAATCGAAAATTTCCCAGTCAAGACATGGAGGTTAAAAAGCTTTAATGAACCAATTCGCAGGGTCAAAAAATTAATCATAGCAGTTTTGGTGCGTTTTCTCATCAAAACTGTATTTAAAACATGATGGACACTTTGGGGGCTCCTTATTTTGATTTATAGGTAAAGGAGGAAATCAGAGTTTTCATAAGACAAAGTTTGTCGCAATGTCAGGGATAGTTGTTTCGTTTCGATAAAAAACGGCTGTCGCCCTAAGCCCGGCAAGAGGTCGGAGTCAAGACCAAGTGTCTCGTTTCGCCTTCAATTTTGATGATACTTCTAGCACATCCTTAAGACACGAATAGTGGTATCAACGAGCCGTGTGAGTTCTAGAGCTTTGTTCTCTTAACATCTCTTGATTTTTCACATCTTAACGGTATTTTTTTACACAAGTGTGTCGAGAATGTCGTGAAATTGAGAACGACTCAGATGAAGTCGATCAAAAAAAAAAAAAAAAAAAAAAAAAAAAAAAAAAAAAAAACCAATCAGCGTTGAGAAATTATCCTATTAAAACATACATTGAGAAAAATTTAGTGCCCAATTTAGTTTATGAACTTTCGAAGACTTTAAAAAGATCTTAAGGTAAGAGGGTACATGCCGCATTACCGCACAATCTAGGTATTTTAGATTTTAATCATTTCTCTGGGTGATTACAAAAATGATGAAATTTGCATTTTATTACGTCGGAAAAATTGAAAAGTGAGTTTTTCAATCATTAAAGATTGCATGATTCTGCTAAAAATCATATTTTAAAATTTTAAGATGAAATAGAACGTTTGATTTTCAGTTTACAGTCGAAATTGATGCATATAAATCTGTTGAAAGATGAATATTGTACGTTCGAATTTATTTTCATGGTTTAATAGATGTTTTACAAATATGTTAATTAAAAATGTGTACATCTAAAGATTGGTATTTCAATTTTCTCCAGAAAAATACTCGTGATGGCTCAACTCTTTACATCGGGACGGTGCCGATGCAAAAAACTAACAATAAGATCTTACTTCCTTTTTAATGTAAAAGTGGAATTTGATCATTTCATAGGTTCCTACTGACTTCCACGCAGAATTTTGCTGAAACATATTTTAGGATGAGTAATTATTGATTGTGCCAAGCGAGGATCAGAGTGGATTCGAACATTTACATAACCTCTCCCCATGCTCCAAATGGAAATAAATCGATACCCATCAGACCTAATCGATACGTGACGTCATCACGTCACAACCTCCTTTGAGACCCTCCATTAGCGAGGTATCCTACCCTAACGAGATCTTCGGTGTTCAAAAATCCTGCTGTTCCGATTAAATATAATTATCAGGGGTAGAGGAAAAAACTAGATTAAAAATAGGTGGAGACATCCAAAATTCGACGGATGACTCAAACCTTTTAGTAATTGACACTTTTACCTGAATTAGGAGAAGCCATCGGAGAATCCACGTGGCTCGCGCGAGCATCCTCGAAATTCGTGGAAACTTTAAAACCTACTCGTAAGCCCGAAAATTGTTACTGATGAAGACACCGCGCAGTTCTGTAATTGCGTGTGCGGATCGAGAATTCTCCGAGGCCGGAAACATAAGTGACAAAAAACGGAAATGATTTCGAATAACACGCTCATATCGCACGGATGTACTGCCGTGCTAAGGAAAAACGTCGTGTGAGCCTTCAGACGTTGACAAATTTCCTCTCGCAAAATACAAATTAGTTTGGAAAATTATGCATTTTATTCTTTCGATTTTCTGAGTCATTTTGTTCGCAATTTAATCTAAAGCATCTGAAATTCTCAAGGAAAAATAATCATAACTTTCCTCAAAAATACATGTGTTATCCGGGGAAATTTGGCAACTCTCGATTATTCATACGGCGTTCTTCCTTGGCACAGCGGTGTAGGAATATCGGCGGTGATCCTGCAGAAACGCGTACCTCGTCGGCGGTGTTTCAATCTCCGCCCTCATTTTATTTTATCAGGGAGAATGGACTTACCCTGTTGCTTGAGATTTTATAAAGTTCTCCTCACGCCTAGAAAATAAATCAGGGAAGTTTAAAGAAAATACGTTGAGCATTTTCCCATCGAGAATACAAACTATGACAGACAGTCTGCAGCATCGCAAACGAAGGTACGCTTTTTTAGTTTCATTGTCGGTATATAATTAGCTGAGCAAACTTTTGGGGGAAAAATTGGATCTGTCCGTGCACTGTGTGTGCAAATTAGAGAACGTATTTTGGAGAACCTCGCAGCAATTATAACTTTGGTTTTCTGCGGTGCATTTTTTTCTCTTCTTTTTTTGGTGGGGAGGGGGCGGGGAGGAGATACATGTACGTCTAATGATCCTTGATGAGTGACAAAATTCTCGTAAAACCTCCATTTTTGCGATGTACCTCAGTATTTCCACGAAAAATTTAATGGAACATATGGTTGTCACAGTTTTTTTTCTGGAATCAACTCCGAAGCTTTTAAAAAGCTTTCAAATTTGCTGTCGCTTTGGAAAGTGCTCTCTTTGCCTTTGCACTTAGCGCTTTTAAATCGCAAAAGTTCTATTTACTCCCTTAGTGATAATAATGAAAGAAAAGTACGGGAGATATTTTGGTTGAACTACTTTCTCCGGAGTTACCTCAAAGATCACACGCTATTTATAATCACTAACATTATCATCCGCATTTATCCTGCAATTTCTTATTGACGCATCGAAACAATGAAAAATAAAGCTACTAGCGAGTAACGCGGCCGTGTTAGGAAAAAACCCGTAGAAACATTCAAAATTTGCAAAAATTCTTCCAATATTTTGCGAATTTTCAAGAATAATCCAGCACTTTATTTTTGACGGTGCCAAAAATCATTTGCTCCCTGTTCAATCGGGTGTGACAGAAAATGTTTGTATGCATTTATGCATTACTTTTCTGCAAAATAAATGTTTTATCGGGAAAAATTTGGCGGCTTTTGAATACGTATAAAGCGTTCTTGCGTTCTTCCACTGAAAAAAATGGTATGCTGTTTTAGCACCTAGGATGCTGCCTTGATTGCCTACGCAATTGAATTTGCATTCACAGGATGTAAAGTTAACTGCGAAGGCAGTAAAGGCAACATCTTGGGATCACCAGACACATTTTTGACACCCTAGATGCTACAATAGCATATTATTTTTTTCAGTGTCCCCAGCATGGTGAATGCTTATCCAGTGACGCAAATGACAATGTGCTTGCGTGAAAGTTTGGAGTGGTGTCAATGACAGGATCAACGGGGACTGAATGGAATTTGAGGCACGCAGTTCGTTTGCGTGAAGAAATTCTGTTTTTGCGACATTTCAAACGAAAAATCCGCGATAAGCATCGATCCGCCTGTCCTGTAAAATTTGCGGGGAGCTCAATGGTTGGTGAAATGATGAAATATGTGATGCCATCTGAGAAAAGAACCTCTGAGAGTTTTCTTCTAATCTGCCGTGCTAAGAACGCCGTATAAGCCCTCAGACGTCGCCATATTTACTTCAATAGAAAACGAGCAAATGGTTAAACTTTTTCTTCAACATTTTCAGACAATTTTGTCTGCGATTTTATACATTTTTTAGGAAAAATAAGCATACCTTTCCTCAAAAATATACTTTTTATCCGGATAAATTCGGCAACTTTCGAATGTTCATACCGCGTTTTCCTTAGCACGGCAGTAATGAACTCCATTTTGCGACGAGGAACTGCTATTTTTTGCGCATTCAACAACGTTCTCTCATCCTGAGTTTTCGAAATCCATTGATATTTTGAAAATAAAGAAAAAAGATCCGGTATTATTTGCCTGATGATCTGAAGGAGGATTGATTGCAGTGGCGATTGGGAGTAGCAGAGCGCTCTAGTGCGCTGAGGTAGCGGCTTGATATGTATAAGAAAAAGAAAAACGAAAGTTGTCATTTTTTGTGTAACTCTGCTCTTCTCCCAGCATAATTCTCGATTAAAGAGAAAGCTGTTTAATTATTCACTATGCAGCACCTGCTCACCTGCTCTGAGGTTAAATGATCTAATTTTACCTCCACTATGTAATCTACTCAGTGTACGAATAATTACGATCAAGTAATTTATCTAAATTTTGATTCTCAATTTATGACATGTTCATGACGAGAAAAAAACACTTTGTTTGTAGTAGATACTATTGACTTCAATCCAATGCATGATTAAGTTCTTTCTCTTTTTAAAAATGTACTAATTTCTCTCTAAAATTTACATTTTTATTTTTCAAACCATCGGGGAAACATCGTGTGCATTGGTAAAAGGATGAGAGTGATTTGTCAAAGTCCATAGATTAAAAACAACTTGATTCAAATCTTCAGCATTAGAGAGAAGGATTGTGGTTGGAAACGTAGGTAAAATTGCCTAACCACCTAAGTGAAGGCATTTTAAAGAGCTAAAAAATATTAAGTATTAGCGCACACCGCGCAGCCGACACATTCGGGTTTGATTCCTCTTTATCTCTTGCATTTTGATTTTCCTGTAACTTTTAGACACATTCCTGAAGACAATTGAATATCTTAGCGTATCTAGTCAAAGGTGTAAAGAATTCAGCGATTGTTCGTATCTTCTTGCACTTTTGAATAATTTTCATCGTTTTATTTTAGTAAATTTCAACAAAGATTTGACATCAATATTACATAAAATTTCAGCTTAGCATCTGTCTGAGCGATTTGTAGAATTTAACAAAATTTTGAATCTAGCCAATTTTTTTTCATAATTTTCATTCAACGTATATGTTGGATAAGTTACCAGAGACAAGCGACTCTCCATTGGCCTCTAGGCGACAAGTGGAAGGTTTCGGGGATTCATAACTTCCTTATAGGCAATTTTAAGGGAGCACCAAGCATCATCCTTTTTTCGGCTGTTGACCTACCTCCTCTAGGTGAACGATGCGAGCATATCGGCTGACGTCATGAGCCGAACAAGTTTCCCAAACTTCGATTTGCTTGCGAAACGAAATTCTCAACACGTTTTTAATCATCCACCTAGTAGGTAAGTCAACAGTTGGTTGGTGGCGTCCTGAAAGTAGAAGTTTCCACCATTGCCAAGATACCAACAGAGGGTATCTTGTCTATGTAAGTTCCATTCAAAAAATAACAAAAAGGGATCTCCCCAGCACGTACATTTCATTAATTCTTTCCGTTTTTTAACGTTCATATTTCGTCACCTACCGGCCAAAGTATCACAAGCGCCGTGCGACGTTTTAAAATTTTTGCCGCCATTATATTTTTTTACAGAGGAATTTTTGGTTGAATCTGTTAGAAAATGTTACTTAATTTTATCAGCAGCACAATAATGAAAATTCATGATATTTTCGGCCAGATTCGTTGAACAACTTCTCTTTAAAAAATAAAATGGCGGCGGAAATTTTCAAACGTCGCATGACGCTTGTGATACTTCGGCTGGAAGGTGACGATTTAACGATCAAGGCTACTAGGGTGAGGTCAAAAGGCCTCCATACACGATCAAATTCCCGAACCAATTTCCATCGAAGTGTCGGGAGTCATCAGTCTTAAAATCGTTACTCCCCTCAATTTTCAAATGATAACCTGACAGAAATGCTTCATGTGGCAAGAAATGATGAACGGTGGCACTCCATTCTGATCAAAATTTGACGGCCCGTCCAATTTTGATCAAAGAGAACTGTTGAATGGTGACCATCAGTCATCAACTGGACGTATTTCTGTCAAACGGAACTAAGTGCCATCGGGGGACAGGCCCGCCACATCCGATCTCGGGCCCTGGTACTAGTTTTAAGGCCCGGGTCCCAAGCACGGGGAGGGGGGGGGTCCGAGGGGCATCCGACGAGAAATTTTTGAATTTATAAATCTATTCGGACGCATTTTGAAGTTTCCATGACGAATTTGTCCATCAATTTTTGCGGAATAATTACGCTTTTTTTCTACTTTCAGCACAAAATGCTTGAGAATTGTTGCATTCAAAACATCTGGAAAATGTTTATATTTTTTTTTTGAGGGGGCATATGATACTATTTTCAATTCTAAAGGGGCCAGGCCCCCCTGGACTCCCCCTTCGTTCATCTATGGCAAGGGAGTTGAGCCATGAGCCATTGAAGTCGAGGATGCCCAGACTGGAGACTCTTAGCATCTGACGACGGAAGAAAATGAAACGCAGTTACTAAAAAATATCATTCTGCACTAAAAATTTTGAAAGTAGATAGAAATTTTCTAAGAAGTATCCTTCTTTGAAAATTTAAGAAGAATTCTACAGTGCCCCAGCGTGTTTTTTTAAAATTTATTCACCTTTTGCGATATTTTTAGGGTAAATTTTTCACTTTTTCTTACGAAACAAGGGTTGCATGTGAATTCGGAGTGGTTTTTCACGGGCAGCACGGGCCCCATCCGGGGCCCGGGCCCCGGCACCAGGGACCCAGTATACCCCCCTTTTAGTGGGCCTGTCGGGGGAGGAAGGGAGAGGGGGGCTTGGAATGGCGGCGGAATCGGGCGTCGGGCTCATTCCGTCCTATACTCGCAATGCTTTTCCATGGCGCTTAGTTCCGTTTGACAGAACACGCTATCCGGCATTCTAATTTACTCACAAAGAATTCAAATTGGCGCTTAATTCCGTTTGACAGAAATACGTCCAACTAGTGTACTTTGATCGGAATTGGTTCGGAATTTAACCGTCTATCGAGACCTAAAAGTGGTCGGTGGCAATTGAGTGAACCCTCGGGCAGAACTCGGCTGCGAGGAGGTTGAAGGGCATTTTGGAATGAACGTCCACCGGAGAGCTCTTGCTCATCATGTTCCAGAAGTGAACCGTGGAGCGAGTCGCCAGGTACTTGACGAACGAGGGATCGGAGTGTTCCTTGAAGAGTGCTCTCCAATCCCAGTACGCGATCGGGTAGAACGGCGACCGTGGAGGAGGTGGAAACACGCTGAAGCCCCCGCACCGAGCACGGCTGATTTTCGTCAACTGTAACAAGAAATTTTCACGGAATTTCAGAATGGTTTTCCCCAGACAATTTCGACCCTGGTAAAAATTGGCGATAAGAGCTGCGTTTCAAAATACCATAGGAATTCGTATAACCGGCTAAAGAAGGCTACAGAAAATCATATAGCTGGCTGTAGAATGCGGAGAAAATCATACGGCCGGGCTATACGAAGCGATAAAGAATGGACCATTAGACAAGGTACGAATTAAAGGATTCTGATACATGTTTCTTAACCAAACTTTCACGCAAAATACGATTCGCGCAACGAAAATGACTGAAACCAACTCCTAAGGAAGATATTAACGTTTTTATTTCACATTGGTCGCGAAGAATTTGAACTGCCCGCTGACAAGAAACTCAAAGCTCTACGTGAGTCATATCACGCACTACAATGGTTTCAGCAAGCTTCTCAATCGAGCTATGTTCATTTCCCATCACGTGTTGTTCAAACTATGAGCAATTTGCTGTAGCTGAGCCAAAGCGTCAAGACTGAGGTTGCCAGATTTTTATATCGCAGAGACTATCATGATAATGTTTAGCGCGCAATGTGAATCACGTAGAGCATTGAGTTTTCATGAGCGGGTGGTTTCAATTCACGCATCAAGAATCATTAAATATCTTCGTAAGGAGTTAATTTCGGTCATTTTCGTTGTGCGCATCGTGTTCTACGTGAAATTTTGGTTAGGTAACATGTATCAGAATGCTGAAATTCGTAACTTGTCTAGTGGTCCATTATGCAGCCGGGCTATAGTTCCTATCGCAGGGCTTTACACTTTATCGCCTGGCTGTTGCTTTTTCGCCATCGATTGTAAGAGGCTATAAGAAATTGTGTAGAAATTCGTGTGCTTTGGAAATAATTAAGTTTGATACGGAACCACCTTAATATTTACAAAACGCACATTATATTTTCCTTTAATACATATTTTTTTTCATCAATTAAAATGAGAATAATCCATACAGGATGTGCAAACATTTCAAAATCATGAGTTGAATAACGCTGACTCCGCCAGATTAAATAATTAGAGCCTAACACAAAGCGGAGCGGCGACGCACTGTCGCCTACAAACCTAATAGGGATACTTCACGCATTACGCAATGCGTGAAGTATCCCTGTTAGGTTTGTAGGCGCCAGTGCATGTTTCGCGCTGGCTGCCCGCCTGCCGTGCCGCAGCGTGCCACGGCGCTTGAAGCAACTATTTCACACCAGAGGTATTGCACAGTATCATACGAAACTAAAGGCGTTCTAATGTATTAGTAATAGGAGGCATCCATCAAAAGTACGGAGCTTTCCTCGCAAAATAAATCAAGATACTACGGCCCAAAAAGAGAGCAGTATTCCAAAAACTCACTAAGTCCTAGCATCCGTAATTAGTAACGTTTAGCATACACTTTATCGCCTGGCTGTTGCTTAATCGCCATCGGCTATAAAAGGCTATACAGAAAGAGGGATACAAATTTTTTCGAAGCAGCCCGAGACGATGATAGAAGGAGAAAAAACAAGGGGGAAAAACGGGAAACAAGGCTAAAATCAGTAGCGTAGACAGGGGAGGGGGGGGGGGGGTCCAGGAGGTCTAGACATCTCCTTAGCCTCGTTGATTGTACCTTTTTTTTACTTTTAGAGGGAAGAAATAAAATAATGTACTGAATTAATGTTAATTTACCGTCAGGTTTTTGAATGGGAACCCCCCCCCCCTCCCCCTTGAACAATTCTTAGCTCCGCCACTGGCTGAAATACAACAATAAAAAATCCGAAACGTTTCCGCTCAAAACTGAGTCATTTTCAGTCGGGAACATAAAATAAAAATTAAAAAATATGGATGAAAAAACCTGATACCTACATGTTGGTCGCCGAGATCCGTTTTTTTCGTTAGGATTCGTTTGTTTTTTTCGGATCTCGGCCACCAACAATTAGGTCTCGGGGTTTTTCATCCATATGTTTTAATTTTTAATTTATTTTCCGACTGAAAATGACTGAGTTTTGAGTCGAAACGTCTCGGGTTTTCTATTCTTGTATTTTAGCATTGTTTCCCGAATTATTCGCGGGATTTTGAATGAAACATATAAGTATGAATCCAAGTTACAGGATACGTAAATATATTCCACAACCTATTCCTTTCATTGTTCTTGACAGTTTTCAACACAAATTTACGAGACTTTTTAAATTTTGCTTTTTTTTAGCATCTTGTATGTGCGTGGTGCGTATTCAAAAATTAGAGGCGATTTCAATTTACAAAGACTACACTAGGTTAACTGTAGCGCCTTGATGCAACTATTTACGCTCCGCGGATGTGGGTGTTGCATGTTCAAAATTGAAGACACTTTCACTTCTCCATCTCCCTTAGAGATGCACGGGATTCGTTAGTGGTAGCACTCTTATTGCAGAGTAATGAGAGTATCACCAGTTAGTGACTGGGAAATTTCGCCAACGGAGCAAACATAGGTAGCGATTTTTTGCACACAATAGTACTATTGCTTACGTCAGTTTCATTGCATAACCTCGAGAGGACATCAGTCAACACTTCCGGTCCATTTTTAGTCCATAAAGTTGGTTGAAAGTTTTCTTGAATTTTTTTCAACATTTCCTCAATGATTGATTTACTTTTTCTTGTCGTATCGAAGTTCAAAACAGCACCATTGATCAATTTATCAGATTCTGCCCCTGCAAAGTTTTTCATTCCATTTAGCCGCCTGGAACAAGTTATTGAAGAATAAAAAGCCAAGTTGAATTACTGGACTGAGAGGACAGCCAAGCTCGTTGCCATTGGCGGATCCAGCAAATTGGCAACATTGTTTTTTCTCCATTTAAACTTATGGTAATATGTATATCGATTCTTGGGGGGGGGGGGGGGGGCAGGTGCTCCGATAAGAATCGGTTATTTAACATTGGTTTAAAGGGAGGAAACCCGATGTTGCCGAATTGCTAGACCCGCCTCTGCTCGTTGCAGGTCTTTTCAGGGAAAACAGATTTAGAGGCATTTTTATTTTTAGTGTCTTACATAAAGAGATTCTCACAAGGTAGGCATACTCTCTTTCCTTCCTTTAAATCCATTGTAAAAAATCGATTGTAGGTGAAGAACCTATTTCGCGAAATATCGATTTTTTTACACGTCGACGATGAGACTCTCAAACCACAGATCTCGGATGCGGTATTTTAAAATCTTCACTCCTATTTTATTTTTTCAAACGAGAACAAATCAACATCATCCCTTGAAGTTTTCACAACTTTCTCGCACAGAGACGATAAATTACGGCAGCGAACTTCCGTTAAGTTTCTTTCCATTTAAAATATGAAGTACGACAAGAAGTCTGCAACTTCGCAAACCGATGTAAGTGGTTTTGGAGTTTCACCGCCAATACTTCGCAGGCAATTAGCAATCGTTGGCATATTGCAAAAAGATAATAAAAATGGTGGTAAAATAGAAGATCATAAAAGTCAGTATTGAGGGAATAAGATTACAATACTGATTGTTTTGAATTTCATGAGAAGAGGCACTTATTCCTCCGTGAAAAAATGGTAATAAAGAGCACACTCCGGAGAACGCCCTGGCCTCAGTTTGGGTTTATAGATTTGGCAGGCAACTAAACTAACTCTGTGACAAAGCGTAGTGTATCACTATGAAATGAAGGCGCTTCAAGCCGAGATCACGGTTTTGAAGGTCAATACCGAAGGAACTTTCATTATGCCGATGCGCGCTATTGCAATTTTCCAAAAGAACATGTGAGCCACTTGCAAATTACCGGTAATCGCTAATTGCCTGCACTCAAACAATCAAACATCCAAAGGGATGAGCTCATAGTTACTGCCTTGCAAGGTCATCTTGTGTCACTATCTGAGGGTTCTATTCTCCACGTACAAATTGGAGTTCTGCAAGTGGCTCAACGATGCATTCTTCGGCCCTCTCATTGGCCAGTGGTACAAGTCGCAGTAATCAATGAGCGAGGGTTCATCGTTACTCATACAAGGGAACTCAACTCCATTAGGTTGCAAAATCAACTCGTACAATTCATTTTTTACATCACTATGACTGTTCCATTTCAGCCTAAAATTTTGCTGATTTTTTCGTGTTGTGAGAGGTAAAATTCATCGAAACTTTCAATTAGGTATTCCTCCAAGTTCCTCAATAATCGGTACAGTTTGCAAGTGGAAATTTTGTGACTAAAATTTAGTTATTTTCTTTCTCGTTGGAAATGAAGTTTTAGGGATCACCGTATGTTACACTGGAAAAAAATACACATTGGATCTAGAGTCCAGACTCCAAAAATCATCGACAAGAAAATATACTCTTGATTCAATCAGAATCTAGCTTAAACCAAGAACCAAGCATCTTAATTTAAGCGGATTTCGTTATGATTCAAGCAAAAATCCGATTGAATCAAAAATACTTTTTCTTGCCAATGTTTTCAAGAGCCTGGACTCTAGATCCAATGTGTTTTTTCCCCAGTGTAGACCAGCCTTTCTCTTTATTGTGTGTTTCAGTTCCACTCATTTGTCTCTCACTCCAACGAAATTCAGCCCTCTTCCCATTTTGAAGCTCTTTCAGAAGTCTTTCCTCGATATCAAAGCGGAGCGATCATTAGCTCTTGATAATATCTATGATGCGTTGATTGCGCTGAGGATTCGATAACGTCCCCTCACTTATAAAAACCCGAACTGTTGAACATGTCCGGTCTCTCGCCTTCTCCAATCCGTGTGGTACTCATTGCGTTTTTTCTTGTTTACTCACTTATTATATTTTTGCACAATTCTTCGGTATTTTTTGTTGAAATTGTATAGTTTTTGTTGAGAGTTGTGGTGTGAAAAGCGAAGAAATCGAGGAGTGGTAGTAAAAGTTGTGGTAGTAAAAAGAGTGGCAGTATTAAAGTAGTCCAGTCAATTTAGCTCTAAATAAGGGTCATCTGGGAAAATCCATATATAGAAGGTTTTTTTGCGGAAACATGTTGCATTAGGCTACCAGAACAACATATCAAAAGTTTACCAAAATCGGCCGTCCGCTAAGGCCGCCATCTTGAAAAAAGGGGGGGCGGGGGGCCAAAATACGCCGCCGGCGACCGGTTTTTAGCTTATATCTTGAAAAATATCGATCCTACGGAAAAATGTCACTGAACCTTTTAAAAAGATCATAAAATTTCCTATTAGAAACACTATACATTTATCAAGTTGCGACTTCTGGTTCGTGAGATATGGCGGTAGTTTCCTGCGGCTAGGAAAGTCAAATCTTGCGAGAAATCACGTTTTTTCAACAAAATCTGTAATTATCTTAAAAACGGCGAGTCTGAGGCAAAAAAGTGTTCTCACCGGAATGAAAGAGCATGAAATTTCCATGCTAAAAATGCTTATGAATTCACTAGGGGGTCCGCCCCCGGAGCGCTATGCGGTCCGAACCAACGGCGGCTACTACGCGGTGAGGCTCGGCTTGGCCGCGCCATGAATTGTTGCGGTCCAAGATGAAACGGCTTCACTTTTTTGGTAGATTTACCGCGAGGGTAAGTCATATTATCCATTTAAATATGTGCTAATTTCCTTTCATCATGAAACCCCCCCCCCCCCTCCCCCTTCAGGTCATGCATGTTGTATAGTTAATAAATGTCAACGGTCGCGCTTGAAGATAATGTTATTATTTTATGCTTTCTTATTCAAATTAAATTTGTCAACAAATCCTCTGTTTTCAAAGTAACTAAAAGGAAATGAATTGATACAAAATATAGAAATAGGAATAAGTCAAGCATTTCTTCGTTTATTACCTTAAGCGGTAGAATCGTTTATTAATACCTATATGTTGAAAAGCATGATGGTCTTGAAGGTTCAATTGTTTTTGATGGATACGAACAAAAAGCGCAACAGATTCTACAAAAAGCGTTGAAAGGTGACGACATTATAGCTTTAAGAAATGTCCTGCCTTAATTTTTTTTGAGGACACTCCTTTATCCGTGGCCCAGGACTTGCTTCTATCTATAATGAAAAGAATGAGGCGCGTTTGATTTGCTTGCTATCGAAACACTTTACTACAGGGAATCAAGTTAAAGTATCTCAAGCAGAGGACGATGCGGATACTCTCATCGTCAATGAAGCTATCAGTCTGCCGAGAGGAACGAAGAAACAAGTTGTTATCGTTGGTAGAGTACCTATATTGAGAGAGTATGGCCACTGGGCCCCATGGAGAGACTTTTAGGACCCAAAAATGGCGGTGCTTTGTTTTGGTTTTTGTGGATAGGAGGGGGGCCATTGCCAACTTTTGACAGTTTTCACCAACCGCACTTGCTGCCAACCTTACTACATCTAAGATTATTTTTCTCAAAAATTGCACACGATTAGCCTTAAAAATATGTAAAGAATCGCAATAGTTCATTCGGGTAAATTTCTCGTTACGATAAGCAAAGAAAACCACAATTTGAGTCATTTTGCATCACATTAATTTATGGCGTCCGCCATTTTTGGGTTCTACCTGGTTTGAGTAATAGGAAGCTATTACTCAAACCAGGTAAGGGCAAATATGCAGCCCAAATTTTTAGCTCAAATCAATTGCGAACATCGAATGTAAATTTGAAGAGGAGCATTCTGTTTATCCATGTCGTCAGTGGATGTGATACTACTTCAGCATTTAGTGGCAAGGGCAAAGGCAAATTTATTAAACTGTTAGAAAAATGTGGCGAAGTCTCTTGTATTGCTGAGAAATTTGATGAAACCGACTGCACTCAAGATGAGCTTTGTCAAGCGGGTGAGCAAATCGTTCTTTTGCTGTATGGTGCTAAAAATCACTTACTGCTTTGAACAAATGCAGATTTCAATGTTTTAATCGTGCTTTGGCAAGGCAAAAACTGAGGTAAAACTGCAAACGTTGCCTCCAACTTCAGATGCGAGCAAACAACACCTCTTACGTGTATATTATCAAGTTCAACTCTGGCGAGGAAGAAAACGGAATCCCAAGGAATGGGGGTGGAAATCTTCGGAACTCAGGCTTCTCCTTGTGCCTATGCTCAACCCGCCTAACCCCCTCCCCCCAAAGAACTTTTACAAATCATCTCATGTACATGTTCGAAAGGCTGTAGTAACCGCTGCTCTTGAAAGAGAGCTGGTCTACCATGCAGTGACATTTGTCTACATTGTTCCGGCTTGGGATGNGTCGTCACCTTTCAACGCTTTTTGTAGAATCTGTTGCGCTTTTTGTTCGTATCCATCAAAAACAATTGAACCTTCAAGACCATCATGCTTTTCAACATATAGGTATTAATAAACGATTCTACCGCTTAAGGTAATAAACGAAGAAATGCTTGACTTATTCCTATTTCTATATTTTGTATCAATTCATTTCCTTTTAGTTACTTTGAAAACAGAGGATTTGTTGACAAATTTAATTTGAATAAGAAAGCATAAAATAATAACATTATCTTCAAGCGCGACCGTTGACATTTATTAACTATACAACATGCATGACCTGAAGGGGGAGGGGGGGAGGGGGTTCATGATGAAAGGAAATTAGCACATATTTAAATGGATAATATGACTTACCCTCGCGGTAAATCTACCAAAAAAGTGAAGCCGTTTCATCTTGGACCGCAACAGTTCATGGCGCGGCCAAGCCGAGCCTCACCGCGTAGTAGCCGCCGTTGGTTCGGACCGCATAGCGCTCCGGGGGCGGACCCCCTAGTAAATTCATAAGCATTTTTAGCATGGAAATTTTATGCACTTTCATTCCGGTGAGAACATTTTTTTGCCTCAGACTCGCCGTTTTTAAGATAATTACAGATTTTGTTGAAAAAACGTGATTTCTCGCAAGATTTGACTTTCCTAGCCTCAGGAAACTACCGCCATATCTCACGGACCAGAAGTCGCAACTTGATAAATGTATAGTGTTTCTAATAGAAAATTTTATGATCTTTTTAAGAGGTTCAGTGACATTTTTCCGTAGGATCGATATTTTTCAAGATATAAGCTAAAAACCGGTCGCCGGCGGCGTATTTTGGCCCCCCGCCCCCCCTTTTTTCGAAATGGCGGCCTTAGCGGACGGCCGATTTTGGTAAACTTTTGATATGTTGTTCTGGTAGCCTAATGCAACATGTTTCCGCAAAAAAACCTTCTATATATAGATTTTCCCAGAAAAATGCTAGATTGACTGGACTATTAGAACAAAACAACTACATGAAAGCATATTCATCACATTTTTAGGATGACACATATTTATTTTAGGGTAAAAAAATCATAAAGCATGTTTGCAAGAACAGTCTTTGGATGGAAAATACTTTAATATTTCATTTCAGTGGAAGTAGAGCAACTACGAAAGGGGCTAAAGCTCATTGACTGTAACTTTTCTATATCGCCTTCAATTTTTTTGGCAGGCCAGAAAATAGCAGAATTAGCAGTAAGTACTCTATTCCAGAATACGTGTCATGTGTTGCCTGTTTGTAAATCTGCTCACGCAGTTTATGTAAAACTTCAGCCTATAACGATTTTGACGCTGGTCAATTTTTCCATCAAAGTCTTGATGATTGATAACAAGTGAGTGTATAAAAATTATAATTCACTCCCAAAACCCAGTTGGAAAAGCTTGGCTTCTTCAATCGTTTGTGTGGACTGGTGTGTAGTATTTAATATGGGTCCTTCTTTTATTTATAGATAATTATAGATAACTCTACTTATGTCTCTATGAATTGATAATCTCACGATAACTCTAACTAAGGATCCTCACTTGCATCTTCTTTATAAGTACATCACTGGCCCAAGGCAGTTCATTCATTTGTATGTTGACCATAACCACTCAGCATAAACATGAATGCAAGACCCTTTTTCATGAGGAGAAAACCTACCTGCATACGATGATATCAGAATCCAGGTACGTTCCGCCGTACTTCCATAAGATCGCGAGCCGGAGGATATCACTGGCGTGTGATTCCGGAAAGGAACTTCCTGCTATTTTCTCATAAAATCGAAATGTTTCCAAGGGAGTGCGATTGAAGAAGTTTCCCTCCAGGATTCGAACAAATTTCAGATTCTCGTACGTTAGCAACACAGTGACGACAGGCGACGGTTCGTCGAGCGAGATTGGAGACGAGAACAAAACCAATACCTAAGCATAGAAATAGAAATTACGAGAACAAAACCAATACCTAAGCGTAGAAATAGAAATTATGGGATTGTTGAGAAAACGAACATAGTATGGAGTGGCTGAGTCATTTCAATAGTAATGATTGAATCTCACTGAGTTTTACTCTCATTATAATTATTTAAAAAATAGTCTTAAACCCTTGGATTAAGCGCTAGTATTATTCTAATTGTTGAAATTACTGTAATTTTTTTTTTATTTAACAAGTTAAATCATCGTGCACAAAATATATAAACTGTAAACTACTTAGTAATATTACATTGTAATACATGAACAATACCAATAAAATAAACTCTCTTTGTAGAAAGGATAAAGGTTCTTTTTTTCGTTCAGGAAAATGGAAGGTTTACAAGAAAGGGTCAAAAGCAGGGATTAGGACCGATCGAACAAACTTTTTGTCTGCAATGATCACAAAATCTTCTATCATATACTACCATGGTAACCCCTACCACCGTGGTCCAGACCGTTCCAGCTGATAAGGCTTAATAGCGGGAACAATACAGTTAAACTAAAGTCTTATCTATTGATTATAACATCTTATGTCCGTTATATTACATTGTAATACAGTTAAACTAAAGTCTTATCTATTGGTTAACATTGAATGGTCTGTTCGGAACTTGTTGTCAGCCCTCTGCTGACACACCGGAACCGCCCTCTGGCATGAAATTATTGTAATTGACAACCTTGTAGGAGTAGTTATACAAATTAAAAATAATAAAAAAAAATGTATAATTATTTATATTTTTCTAACTTCTCCCCATTTCTTTTCCCTGTTAAAAACGACGGACACCTTGCGGACACTGAGCACTTTTTTCTTTGGCTCTGCCGCCGCCCGCCCTTTGCTTACACAGAAAAAATTAAATTCCTGATTTAACAATTCAATTGCTAAAAAAAATGACTGCAACGTTTCAACATAGATTTTACAACAGAAAATGCTACTTTAACCACTATCGTAAGCTAATTATACCACGGGGGTGGTTCTTAAAGTAGTATTTTTTTTTTTTTTTTTTTTTTTTTTTTTTTTTTTTTTTTTTTTTTTTTTTGTAAAATCTACATTGAAACATTGCAGTCACTTTTTTTTAGTAATTGAATTGTTAAATCAGAAATTTAATTTTTTCCGTGTAGGTGCCCGACGACCACTAGTAAGACGTCGCACGACTACTCTGCCGTGCCAAGGAAAAACGCCGTATGAACACTCGAGAGTTGCAAAATTTCCTCCGATAAAATGTTGTTTTCGGAAGGAAGCTATGCATATTTTTCCGAGACCCTTTCAGATACTTTAGAATAAACTGCGAACAATGTTGCCTGAAAAATTGAAAGAAAAATATTCGTGACTTTTCCGGTCAATTCGTATTTTATCGAAGGCAACTTGGCAACGCCCAAAGGCTCTTACGGCGCTCCTCCTTAGCGCGGCAGCACTGCTTAGACTTCCACCACCCTTGATTTGAAAAGGTTTAAGCCCGTTAAAATGCCCCTTCGGTCGCAAATGCGTTAGGTGAGGGAATAATGGAGAACATTTTATCATCATGAATTTGATATAACTAACACAACAATTATATCAATTTGCTGAAAACTGTAATCGATTGTGTCAGGAAAACTCATCTATCCATAATGAGTCCGAAGGTCTTGTTATGACTTGCCAGTAATTAGGAATACTTGAAAACGCAAAAGTCTCTTGAAGAGTCTTTATTCAGTCGACACAGAATTACATAGACATTAGAAAGAATTGTGAAAATTACAGAGAGGAGACCTTCAAGCGAAAACACCTAGGAAAAAATCAATCATTTAAATCGAAATGAAGAAATTTGACAGGGAGGAACAATAATCTAGCAGAAAAGGAGGAAAAACTGATCAACGAAGTGTACCTAAGTAAAATTAGAAGGGGCTGTAAAATTGTTCATCGTGAATGTATTACAAACGATTACAACGTATACCTGACTATCACTGACCTAGGCGGATCCATGCCACTCTGCCCGGGGGGGAGGGGCGGAAGGGGGATTCGGGGCGCTTCCCCCTAAATTTTGAAAATTTAAAAAGCATCTAATACTCAATCGAGTCAATTTCGTTTTAAAAGATCACCAATTATGAGCGTCCTTTCATCTTCTGTTTTTCGCTTATTCCCTCCTTCTTTCTTCCCTTTTTCTCCCTCCTTTTCGTTGGGCGAACGATGGTTGAGGTGCGTCCCTTCCCTCGGATCTCTTGGATGATATCTAACTTCCAACATAGTCATAGTTCAGTCTCGATTTTTAAACATAACGTTTTTTTCCTCGCTCAAACTTGAACATTTTCATTTCAATGAGCATTGAACTTTAGGGTTGAGTAAATAATATTTACCTGAGATTGTGGATGAGCTCTGGCGGCCGACTCATAAGCGCAAGCCTGTCTTAATGACAAATTGACGCCATATCCATGGCTGCATGACGTGTCCAAGAAGAAAATACTGTTAGGAGTCACTTTGTGGCCCGGTAGGGTTGGAATCTCAGGGTCATATTTTTCTTGAGGCACGTTGTAACAAAAAGGTGCTTTCGGATGATTTACCTAGATCCATATAATATGATAATTTTACTTCCATAAGATTCATAATTGGACTGCATTTTGCAATTTGGAACTATAAATTCTGGCTCACCTGAAAAAATACTTATGTGCATAGGGAAACTAATAGCACATACGTTGTGTTTGAACCGGGCCGGAATTTATAGTTCCTAATTGCAAAATGCAGTCCAATTAATGTTTGAAAAAACACAACATTTAAATTCATAAAGTGTCATACAAACTATACCAGTTACGATAAAAATAAAATCTGACAAAATGTCATAGAGCTGCTGAGCTTAAATGCACTTTATTAATTCAGCTTAGTAATTGCATAGATCAGGATCTTGCATGTTTAGCTCAAAATAGATTTTAATTTTCTTTTACTTACCCCGTCAGGAATTTTCCGCTTCAGTGTCAAACCCTTTATGTACTCTAAAGCTCCAAAGTAATAAATCAAAATGATTATAATAAATACTGTCAGAAAGACGATTTTTCTCATTCTTATTCTGGTACTATTTTTGGCAAGATCTGCTCTTTGGTTGAGCCACTCCAGCAAGTTCTTCGTCGTCGCATTTTCGGTTCTCATGGTTTCACAAAACGAGAGGAGATATTGGTAAAATAGTGAACTTATGTGTGCGAGTACATCCTACTCAAAAAATCCATGTAAGGAACCCAGAAAGATTCCGACAACCGTTGAAGTATTGGCTTTTTCAAGGATTGACATTCTTCTGAAAACACTGAGCATATCGATGGACAGGAAGGAAGCTTGAGTAAACCGTTACCAAAATTCCAGTTATTATTCCATTCTTTTCAGAAATGTTCATCAGTCAGTTTTGAAAGAATCTTACATCGATAATTTTTGCGATGGCGGAGTAGGTAGGACCGCGTATAATTTTGAGCAAGAATTTTGAGGGTGAAGTATTTCAGTTTGCAACTTTGCAAACCGAAATAGGCTGATTTAGTTTCACCATAGCTATGCACTACCTCTAACACACTTCAGAAAGTACTTAAAACACCTTCGGCAAGATTGATGGAATGCCAACACATGACCAAAAAAAAACCGATTGTTTCGTAAAATGAATACTCAAACAATGAGCAAAACGAACTTTTAAGATGACAACATTTTTTGTCTCTTTCCGGTATGAAGCAAGGAGGAAAACTTCGGTCACAAAAATATAGTTCTTCACTTCAAACCTATCTTTTCCTGCATTTTGAGTTGCCACATTGGTAATTGAAACGCTGTGAATAATATAACGACTTTTTGTGGTTGACGTATTTGTAACTCATGACATACGTGGTGCCATGCGCTGGGCAAAACCAACAAATAACAGCTGTCGGTTGATTGCCACCCGTCTATAGGTGATTCTCGAACTAGTTTTGGATGTGTGCTCTGTTCATGAGTGTCAGTTCATGATATGGCATAAAATAGTTGCAAACTCTTATACTAAAAACTAGGGGCACACTTCTCATTTAGAAACTAGAGACATTCTTCTCATTTAGAGACTAGAATAGCACAATTATTTTTCAAACATAGTTTTAAAGAAAGGATGCAACCATTTCAAATACCATATGCTAGAACACAAACGAAAGTTTGAATAAAGGAGAGAGAGAGTTCGAATGGCAAACTGGCACTACCATGTACTCATTTTTTGTGACGGACCAGCAAAACAACGCCTGAAATATGTCATGCAAGAAATTCCTTCATAATATATTCAAAAATATTTATTTTGCAAGACTTTATCTACGGTTCTAAGTGTTTTCTTAGAAAAATCTTCGTTAGCGACGTTGCAGACTTCCTGTCATGAGAAACTATAGTTAGCGTAATTTCTTGAAAACTGCCTTGATTTTTTTCTGTGTTATAGCAGAATATGCATCGTTTCTCGGACGAAGGAACGGAACTGCATTCAAAGGTTTTACAATTCAATCGAACAATTTAATTTTTTAAAAGATTGTACCTGTTTAATTTATTTATGAAAATGTTTGTGATTTATGCACGAGAACAGGAAAAACTTGGTGACAATTTCAGTTTGAAATGATCAAAATCATTCTGGTAAAATTGCAATTTACGAAGAGAAATTCGGCAACATTGAGATGTACTTACGTTCTTTCGTGACGGAAACGACGTAATTTGTACATATTTCAAGGTATAAAGTTGGCTTATTTTTCCCTTGAAAAACTCAAATAGGAGCGGCAATTTTGCAACACCGCGGTGAAGGTACGCAGTTTTGCACTTTAACCATCGAAACGTGATCCGGGGGTATCATCGGGTGTCATAGAGCTCGTTGTCCTTTATACAAAAGAACATAACTACATTTCGCAGCTGCAAAATTTCCTCTTAGTACCACACTCAAAAAAAAGGTGTGACTCTGAGACCCATAAAACATGGCTTGGAGATCCATAATTTCCAACCAAAGTGACTTACCGTCTACAGTATGGCTTTCTGAGCCATACTTTATTGGTCGTGAATCTATAAGCATGGCTCCACGAACTGTATTTTATGGCTCCGTGATCGATAACTCGGCCGGTAAGTCACTCTTCCCATACTTGTTTTTTGAGTGCACACTTTCACAAGGAACCTTTTGAACATTTCTAACTAATAATTCAACTGATTTTTACTCTGATCACACACAAAACTTAGGAAAATTTGAGCAAAAATTACGCGGTCAAAAGTTAGTGGTTTAAATTTTAATGAAGAAGTTTACACTTTTACAATATAACCCTTTTATCATGCACTTTATTCATACAGAAAAAATTACATTGCTGATTTAACAATTCAATTGTTAGAAAAAGTGACTGCAATGTCTCAATGCAGATTTTACAACAAAAAAATGATACTTTAACCACCCCCGTGGTTAAAGTAGCTTACAGTAGTGGTTAAAGTAGCATTTTCTTGTTATAAAATCTACATTGAGTCATTGCAGTCACTTTTTTTTAGCAATTGAATTGTTAAATCAGCAGTTTATTTCTCCATCTATTTCTTAAATGTGTGAAGAATTGAATTATTTGAGTAAATTTTGCAACCTTGGAATGAAGTTACGTTCCTTCATCTGGGTAGCGATGCGTACTCCCACCAAGTATCAGAGGTCACGTGCAGAGTAGGAGTAATAGCGGTGCGCGGTAAATGTGTTTGCGCACTTGAGCAATGGAGGACCCTGCCGACTGGGCCATGTATCCCTCGGGATACGGTGTACCGTTAGGCATATGTCACTGACACGCAGCAGCGGCAAATTGGCGCCACGTGCCCGCCTTGTCTGCGCCTTGTAATTATGCAACACTCTCTGCTTGGTTCTCCTCCGCCCGCGTCTTTTGATGTCTCTCTGTTTCTCGTTGCTGCCCGTGATCGGCCGACCGGACCAACCCCTTACCCTTACATCCCCATTATCGGGTGAGGGGCTGTTGAAGTCTCCTTCACACGGACTGAAATGAGGTCTTCAGATAATGAGTGATTAATGTAACTGTTGTCCGTTGTTGGTTGGTGATGGGCCACTAGACTAGGTATGAATTAAAACACCACGTTATCTGTTATTTCTACAACATTTTAAGTAGGGAGCAATTTACGCAATGGGAAGTACGGAAATCAATACCCAACCGAGATATCAACATGAACACGTAAGTTCAAATGGAGCGTACATTATAGAATTAACATCATTTTTGTTTTCGGCACGAAGTAATATTAATTGTAAATACTTATTGCCTCTGAAAGAGTGTATTTTAGAACTTCCCGATGTTGTGAATAATATCTCACGTTTTATGTATAGGAGAATTGAAAGGTTTGAAGAGCGAGGCGCAAAGTGCAGATTTGGAAAAAATTGAGATATTCATGAACTCAACTAAAACCAGCTTGAAAGTATATTCTGTGAAAAATTCACGTCTAGAATTCAACTTTAAGGCATGAAAAAGTGAGTTTGAACTTCCTTTCTACCATTAGGCTCCATGTAATGTTGAGACTTTAAACATGTATTTCTTGAAATAGAAAAAAAACTGCACTTAAGCGCCTTGTCCTTCAAGCCCCTTAATTCATGCAGCGGAATATTTTTGTTTGTACCTTATCTAGTGCTCCAATTTATTACTTCAAACGGTAGCAGTGAAATGACCTCCGCATATCATTCATTCTATATTAAATAAGCTGCGAGGTCTCCTAAATTTGCATATCTGGTAACGTTTAGTTCAAGCATTCTACTGGGCCCCTTCAATTATTAGGTGGGCAACATACGATACATCTACATCCAAAGGAGAAATCGGAGAAATTAGTTGGTGTTCCGGAGACTATTTTCTCTTCGGAGCGATAAATTTACCAGGGAGTATTGCTACAGGGAGAGAATTATTTTTGCTCCGGAGAAATTAGTCAGTGTTCCGGAGAAAAAAAAATTCTTTTCGGAACGATAAGTTATTGGTAGGGAGAGAATTATTTTATAGGAAAATTTTAAATGATCAGATGATCAGACGAAGAATAGGCAATTTTCAGTACAAGGGAAAAAGTCAACTTATTCATTTTTCATTGAAATAACATCCAATAAGAGGATCCCCTTCAATTACTAGGTAGGCAACATACGGTGCATCCACATCAAGAGGAGCCAACATTTTCGCAATTTATTGTACCCTTTGCTTTTTGAGTAAAGGACTAAACTAAAGAATTAACTTTTCAGTACCTCTTAGGTCAAGTAAAGACTTGGGCCATGTGAGAAATTGTAATCATTGAAAAAAAAAATCCTTGAGACATTATTTTGACTTAAAGCATCGTTTTTTGTCGGCAAAATTTGGTTTTTTCAAGTTAAATCCGTGCAAACTCAAAATCAGTTTTTTGAGTAAGTAAAAACGTTGTTTTGCTATCGGTAAGTTTAAGTTAACAAACTATAAGAAAAAAATGTTTCTATAACCCCAAAAAACTGATTAAACTATAAAAAAAAACCATTTTGTTGATAAGAAACGACGCTGTAAGTCAAAATAATATCTGAATAAATTTTTTTTTCACTTATCAAAAGATTCATGCCGACAGTTATGTGATCAAAACTTAACTAGCGCTGAACTTTTACTTCCTTTTTATTTCCATTTATTTTTTATTCTTTTTTACTTAGTTTATCGGAGTCTCATGAGTCAGAATTTGTCTTCATTTCATCTGCCTTCCACTGCGATTAGCTCCAAATCCTCTATCCGCGGGTATCACCGAGGGCGAGGAAGCGAAATAAACTTCGGGACGCTCTGACAAAGACAAGACGTATACTCAAACAACTGGAAAACAAATTCGGGCACCGCAGGTTACTTGCCTCCTCAATTTTGCGGTGCACCAACTCAGTACATTGAAATCCGGATTAAAGCACTTAATGGCCTACTTATCGACAGAATTCTATCCGCAGCCTCCGAAGGGAACCTGTCTTCGATCCCCGAAAGCTAATCTTAGCCTGAAGCTAGACGTAGCCCATTTGTCACTGCGAATCACACAAATACATAGGTAGTTCCAAAAGTCCTCAGACGCACACTGTGTCTCAGAACTAATACGCATTGCATCTAAACCAAATTAGCCCATCCATTTTGGAAGGTTCAAGAGAGGACATATCGACGCACGGTAACAAATTTTGGGACAATATCCGCACTCCGAAAAATTCGGTAGCTGGAGCCGAGATTTGCGGTTCCAGCCGACGAAATTCAGCAGAACTGCGCTATGGCTGATAGACTATGCCGCGAGTTTTCGGCAATTCTGCCGAATTTTGGCAACTGGGACTGCAAACATCGGCTCCAGCTGCCGAAATTTTCGGGATGTGGATATTGCCGCAAAATTTTTTACCGTGCGGTGAAACCCTCTAACTATGTATGTCGGTTAACATAGTTTGGTCAATAAATGCGAATTTTAAACAATCGATATATTTTTAGGAAAGAAAAGCATTTTACAATGCAAAAAAAATTGCAACTCACTGCCACTCAATTGCAATAAATTTTGATAAGAGCAGTCAACCCCTATCTATTGGCGAATATACAACACACACAACACCCCGATACCACCGCAATTGTTTTAACGTGTAATCGCAATTAAATGCCCACGGAAAAAAATGAACTTGCTGATTTCACAATGTTGTAGTTTAAAAAAATGTCTGACATGTTTCAATGTAGATTTTACAATAAATAAATGCTAATTAATCACCCTCGTGGTTATATTAGCTTTTATTCTATTCTAAAACGTTCATTTGAAACATGTCGGACATATTTTAAAACAATTTAAT